TTTTTTTTAAATGTTTCAATCAAAGATCTTTTTGATTGAAAAAAATCCGTGGTCTGAATTGGTCGAATATAGTGATAGAAAAAATATTTCTGGTTATGATTGTCAAAATGTAATGCTCCCGGGTCCAGACGGTCATGATGTGAAATGCTCCAGGGTTCAGATGGTCATGAAATACTGCCGGGCACGAGCTGTTACATTACGTATCAACTTTGGAAGTCGAGCAAATAGTATTTTTGACTAAATTTCTGCGGTTGAGAATTTTTTTATTATGAGCACGAAACCAAAACATACACATCTTTGGTAGAAAGAGACGAGACATAAGTTGAGCGCAGTCCAAGAAAAAAACACTCTTTTGTTGGACAAAGTCTAAACATAGGTCAATCAGAGTCGAATCATACCTGATTTTAATCGACAAACTCGAAACATTGTTCTTCAACAGGCGAACATAGGTCATGCACAACCTGATTTGTTTAAAAAATGTTTTTTTTTTTCGGTAAATTTAACAAAGGCTTAATTTGGAAACAAATTTTAAAAAATTGCTCTGAGAGGACCTTAACCAGAACGTTTCAACTAGAAAAAAAATCATTTGATGAGAGTTGCTTTCTGCAAAAACTAACACTTTGAGGAGAATCCTTCAATACTTTGCGTTCTAAGGGTTACTGTGGAAGGAAATTCTACCAAAACTATTTCTACAACTATTACTTTTAACTTTAATATTTTTTTGTGGAAATTTTAAAAGATAAAAGCTTCGTTTTCTGGCGCAATCCATTAGAAAACAAATGGATTTTCGTTTAAAATTTTTCTTTCATATTTTTATTTTGAGCACAAAGGCGAAACATACAAATATTTGATAGAAAGACACGAGACATAAGTCGAGCGCAGTCAAATAATACACCACTTTGGTCGACAAAGTCTAAACATCATTCAAACAGAGTCGCATCATACAGGATTTTAATCGAAAAACTCGAAACATTGGTCAACAACAGTCGAACATAGGCCAAGTACAACCTGATTTTTTTGAAATCAGTTTTTTTGTAGCTTTTAATAAATGTTTAAATTAGAAACAGAATCAAAAAAACTGCTCAGAAAAGACCTTAGTCAGAAAGTTGCGAGCAAAAAAATCATTAGATGAAATTTGCTTACCCTAAACCAATATGTTCAGTAAGAACTCTTCAATTTTTTGGGTTCTAAAGATTTCTGCGGCAAAAAAAACCAAAATTTATTTAATTAACATCTTTCAGATCATCAGATTTATCCAAACTTGTTAAGAAAAATAACGTAAAATTGTTTTGAAAAATTAGTTTTTCACGCAGAATTTGTGCATTTTGACGATTCGTATAGCTAGTTTTTAGTTGCTTTTCAGTTTTTTCCGAATTGATTTGTTTTTTGGATTTTGCAGTCAGTTTATTGATAAATTGTTTTTTTTTTAGTTAAGAACAGTTGTAAGTCTCCAAAATTTTAAGAAAACTCATTTTTAAGAACACTCTTATCGAAAAAAAATTTTGTACGTGGCTTGGCTGTATTTAAGATAAAAATCAACGAAATTGTGAAACTCGTTTGATTTTGATTGTTATAATCTAAAAAATCTAACAAAAATCATCATCATCATCACTCATGTCGCCATCAAAAACTTGTCTCTTTCTCTGCAGTGAATGAATAATTTTTGTTTCAGGTTTCATATTTTCTTCAAATAGCATGTCAGTGTTCGAAAATGCATCCCATAAAAATTTCCAACCTTTCTCGCAATTATTGTTAATTTTCCTATTAAAAAACTGGATTTTGCTGGAATGTAAAAAGACCGTTAAAAAATTGTCTTTGGTTTTCACAGTCACAAGTTTGATAGATATCCAGAAAATTTCAGTACCAGTTTTGTGCCCCATTAGTTAATCTGAAACTCGAGTAGGCTTCCAATTTGTCTTTTACCTGAGCCGTCTCAAAATTTCCTTCTCGATGTATAAAACAATTTCACAAGACAGTTTAATCGAATTGAAAATTTTCCATCCTGAAATTGAAAAATAAAATTGACTTTTATGAAATAAAACAGTGTTAATGAAGTGCTGATAAATAGCATGTGATTTATGTTAAAGCATAGAATTACTCATTCTGCGCAAAACCCTCAATTTGCCTTGAGCTTACTAGTCATAGTTGCTTTAACTAAACTTGAAAACGATTTTTCCTATAATAGTTATAAGCAAAACTGCTGCTATCAAATTGGTAACGTTAAACTTCCGATGTCCCTCTTAAAAAGTTCAAATTTTCTTTAGCCTGAAAAAAAACAGGACTAATAGTGAAGTTTTTCGGTAGGGGAAGTTTCGATTATTTGTTAAAAGTTAAACAATTTCAACCATTAAGATTCTTTCTACTTAATAAATTGGCCTACTTTTTTTAACTTAATACTTATAAAAAGTTGAGTTTTGTAACCATTTGATAAATTGCTGGCGAAACATTGTGAATATTTTTTCCATGCAGGTGCTTCACAGAAAGTTTGCAGAAGGAAATTTAAAATCACACTAGACAAAAAATCATTAGGCGTAAAAATTGTAATAATGCTGAGAGAAAAACAGTTTTGAGCGTATAATTTTGTAAAAACGGTACTCAAATTTTTATTGAATTTCCGAAAAAATTGTTGGATCAACTTACTCTTTCAATGTAAAGAAGAGACTAAAATTTTTGAGGGAACGAAAACACGGAATAATGTGAGTTAATTGGCGACCAAAGATTACAGAAAACCCGCGTAATACTCAATTCTAAAAATTATTTTAAGTTCAAGGATTATTTTTCTATGCTTAGTTTTATGCTTGCCAATTAAATATGCTTGCCATTTATTTTTTTTGCCCAATTTAATAGAACACAAATTAATATTTTCTTTGACATTTCGCAAAGTTTTTGTTCATGGTTCTGAGTGAATTATGTGAATTTTTTTCTGACAATTATTCGACAAAAGCAGGTTATCTGTGAGGTTTTTTATATTAACCAATGCGTTTTCTAATAAATGGGACTCCAAAAGGTAATATTTTATGATTTAGGAAAAATTAAAATTTTCGCGATTGCAAAACCGTTTAACGTAGAGAATCCATATAGTTTGATGTACGCATGGAACTAATTGACAAAAAGTTTAGATCAATTCGATTAGTTTTCAAAATTAGTATCTTTTCAAGAACTGAATAGTGAGTTCATTTTATTTACAATAATGGCTTTGAAAATCAGTTGAAATGCTTTATCGTAATTAGTGAGTTTTTTATTTTTGATAAGTTGCTATGGGTTACTGAACAACATTAGTTTCCCAAATTCTCTAAAAAACTCTTATTTGTATCAAGAAGCCGTGAGGATCTCTGACTAATTACTTCATTCGGTTGCTAAGCTAAAAATTACTCACTCATAATAGATACAAACCCGACTGCTCGTGAATTGTCTTGAAAGCCTGAATGTTCTGACAGCCCTTTAACTGGTCCCGAGCAGATTTTAGTGAATCATAAATTTCGAGGGTTGCAAAAAAAGTTGGAGATGCAAGGGCTGCCACAGTAAAAAAAGTCAGTGCTATGAAAATTTTTGCAAATTTTTTTCTAAGCTAAAATTTTTTGTCGCAAATTTCAAATGAAAACAATTTTTTTATATTTTTTTTTTGCCCAATTTAATAGAACACAAATTAATATTTTCTTTGACATTTCGCCTTTCCAGTAACCGTAATGCTTTCTAACTGGTCAATTATTGACGCCGACTTCAATTTTGTTTTGGCTTCTGATTGAGATGCTTGGTTGGAGTTAGTCGAAACACTAAACTTATCGAAACATTAAATAAACTTTGGTCAAATTTAAACAAGTTTTCCTTGGTCGAATTTCTCCTTGTTTTTGAACTCGATTGAACATAATTAGCCAAAATTGCCTTTAATCGAAGCTTCTCCGTGGTCTGACTGGGTCCAAAAATCCTTCCTTAGTCGAGTATAATCAAATTATGTTTTTGGTTCATGACGGTTAATTTGGGTCATTACGGTCGATGTTTATCACTCCTGGGTCCCGACGGCCAAAAAATGCCGCCCGATACAAGGTGCTTATTTTACGTTTCGACTTTCGAAGTCGAGCAAGTGCAATTTTTCGATTGGAGTTCTGCAGTCGAGAATAATGTTAGGCCAAGCACAAAGTCGAAAGATACACACTTTTGGTAGAAATAGTCAAGACATAGGTCGAGCGGGGCCTAGGAAATTAGACGATAGACAATTTATACGGATACTACAAAAACGAAATTAAACGGAATTTATTTTTTACAGATCTGGTATTTTAGACGAAAAAGCTATGAAAAGGAAAGGGCCAACAAATTTTTTTCTTAAGAGCCAAGTTTCACAAATACAAAAAGAACATAAAATGTCAATACCTATCAAAACAATTAGTTCAATTGAACATAAAATGTCAAATCTGAATATTACAGGAGAGATTTGAATTGAATAAATTATGCCTGATTGACTTGTAAAGTTTTAGGCCACCAAAATTGAACTGTTGTCTACAAACAATTTTATTTTTCTAACGCAATTTGTGTGCAAACAAAGTTAATTTCTCTCACTTTCGTCTATTTTCTCACAATTGCAGTTTTGCAAAACCGTCTAAATTCCTCGAAACATAGCCATTTTTGGTAAAAACAAGTTGAAGCATATCTATGCGGGGTCGAACAAAATATGGAGTTTTTTTAAATATCGTTAAAAAATTCGTCCGAGACAGTCAAAAAAGCTGAATTAAATCAATTTTTGGTCGAGAAAAACGAAATATATCTGAACTGGGTCGATAAAAGTAAACTTTTTGGTAGAGTCGACAAAACCGGGAAAAAATTCGTCGAGAGAAACGAAACATACCGAAATTTGGCCGAGACTGTCGAAACATAACAATTTTTGATTAAGATAGTCGAAACATAAATCGAGCACCTCGACTCGGGCGGTTTTTTGTCGTGTCGGTCAAAACATAAGTCGCAAACTTCGCACCGGTTTTTTCGAGTCTGAGCAATAAACTCTCTAAAAACTAATAATCTTGTATGTAGATAACTCATGACTTGAAACAAGAAGATTAATCAATCAGTTTATATTGAACCAACATTTGATCAATTCAGGAATCTAATTTTTCCACTTGGACCTTCCACTTAGTTGTCGGAATTCTTCATTGCATAATACGAAGTCAGACTGACTAGTAGCTACCTCGATGCATTTGATGAACCAGAACAAAGCACTGTACCCTGAGTCTCCAAAGACATCAGCAGAGCCCAGATTCACTAGCCGATTTTTCAGTGTCGAGGATTCAGCGTTTCTAGAAAGATAATTAAAAAAACTGATTTTTCCAAATTTATTTTCAGCCTGTTCAATTTTTTTTGGCTTTTATAGCTTTGCACTTTGATTAAAATTGCTGATTTCCGGCTATTTTTATCGTTCTAAAATTGATTTGTTTTTGAAATTCTTGCAGTATTCTTTTTTCTAAATTAACTTTATTTAGTTAAAAACTGTGTTAATTCTCCAAAAATTTTAGTAATATCGTTTTTAAGAGCACTTTTATCGCAAACATTTCTTTCAAACCAAAATCACCAAAATTCTGAAACTCATTTCAATTTTTTGTATCATCCAAATGAACTAACAGGTTGTCATCATCAGCACTCATGACGTCATCATCAGTTTGTCTCTTTCTCTGCATAGGTTGAATACCTTTCATTTCAGATTTCATATCTTCTTCAAGTAGCATGTCAGTGCTCGAAATTGCATCCCTTGAAAATTTCCAAGTTTTCTCGCAATTATTGTTAAATATCCTCAGAAAAGGCTGGTTATTCTTAGACTGTAAAGAGACCGTTAAAACATCATCTGTGATGTCCAGTACCAAGGTTGATAGATTCTCGCAATATTTCGGTACCAGTTTTGAGCTCCACGAGTTAACCTGAAACTCGAGCAGGCTTCCAATTTGTCCTGCATGCTGAGTTGCCCTCAAAATATCCTCCTCGTTGTCCAGAAAATGTTGATTAGGCAGTCTGTTCGCTATGAAAATTTTCCACCCTGAATAAAAAAAGCTGGTTTTGATAAGAAAAGCGCTGGAAATGCTTTGCTGATACATTATATGTGATTAATGTATAAGCGTTCGATTACTCATATTGCGCAAAACCCACAATATGCATTTGACTTTTCCAGTTATAGATGCTCTTAAACTAAATTTGAAAACAAACTATTTTTGCTCATTTTCAATTTTCAAAAGATATTTATAAAAAGCTGATATCAAATCGGAAAAATTAATCTTCCGATGGTCCTTTTAAAAAAATCAAATTATTTTGGGATTGAAAAAAAAACTTGATTTATAGTGAAGTTTATCAATAACCTGAAATTTCGATTAATTTTGAAATTTTTTAAAAAAATAGGTTGAAAGGTTTTTCTATTAACTGAAGTTGCCTTTTTTTTTCTTAACTAATAAGTTAAAATTTGCGGGTAAATTGCTGGCGAAACATGGCGAGGAATATTTTTTTTCCACGCGATTTCAGGTACCTCAATGAAAATGTGAAGAAGGAAAATTGGTATAATGTCAAAATAAAAAAGCTGATTTTTGTAATCTTCTGTAGATTTTTGGATTTAGGATTTTCTCCAGAAGGGGCGGATTTTTAAAAAAAAATTGTCGACTTTTTTTAGGACGACCGAATTGATTTTCCGAGCTCTCCCAAATCACTGAAAAACACTGTTTTGGCCAATTTTTGAAAAACAGCGAGAAAAAGTCATTTTAGGCACTTTTTGGGAAATGTTGTCCAAAAAATCGCGTTTTTTCGGCGCGTGCTCCACTAGTCGATCAAAGGAGGTTATCCCCTAGTCAATCAAGGGAGATTAAGGTATAAGTAGTCGATCAAAACTTGAAGACAGCCGCCTATCACAAAAAAGTTTTAAAAAAAGCTTTCTGGGGGCAACCGCCTAGCGGGCTGTGTGTATGTATGCGTAGCTAAGATTGCTTCCTTCTTCCACGAACGCTACTTGGTTGTCTTCGCGTGTAAAGCTGTTTTTGCCCGAAAAAATTGTATCTTAAAGATCTTGCAAAAAAAGTTATCTTTAAAGGAGGTTATCTTGCAAGATCTTGCAAGATAACCTACCTTGATCGACTAGGGTCCCCCTTCAAAGTTAGTTATATTGGCTCCCAAGGCGCCTTTAGAAAAACTTTGGGTTCCGTCATCAAAAATGGATATCTCAAAATAGAACAAAAGGAGGACCCTTTGAGTCGGAAGGGGGTCGAATTCCTGAGGGAAGTAACTTCCGAAAGTATATCCAGAAAATTTGGTGTGGGAATTTTCCACCATTGAGACCAATTAGACAAATTTGAAATACCAATTAGACTTCTGATCTTCCGGCTGCTATGGTTATCTCGGGGCAGATTTAAGCATCAATTGCCCTAAGAAGTCATTCTACTCGCAGCAATGGCAATTTCTTTCGGTGGTTTGTAACAATAAAACGCTGGTAAGTTGCGAAAAACTACTGACCTTTTTCTGATTTTTTCACATTAAGTATAAAGTTGGCACTTGAATCCCTGCCTGCTGTAGTTGCTCCGGAACTTGCAAGCTCATACCACTTTCCTGATATATCGATAAAGCTTTTCCTACTACCCCGAATTAGGGAGCAATAATTGAGTTGCAGATTAAGAGTGGAGAAAAACAATAAAACAAGAAAATTCCGCTTTTCCATCATTTTGAATACCAAAGTAACATGAAACTGAAAATACATTAACTAAAATGTTAGAAAGTTGTGGTTTTTATATTGAACTTATTAGAAAAATGTCATTGCAAATCAGTGAACTTAACAAAAAATGCTTGCACGTTGAACTTTATTATGTTAAAGACATTATTATGACTTCATTTTGATAACCTTTCTCATTCCCGTTGGTTGCGGTCACTTTCTGCCAACATTTGTTAAAGGTTATAAGTTCACTTTTCTGCCCTTCAAACTCGCAGGTTTTTCTAACCAATAATTCTTCGTGTCCAATCAGGCTAGATATAAAAATATAAACGTTCAGCAAGTTAAACTCTCCTACAGACAATTTGATGTAGGTGTTCTTGTTATGATTTTATTTTAAGGGGCTGGCCAAATTTTTGTTGCATGGCAATAATTCGTCGCAAGCGACCGATCGTCGCTGGCGTCGGTTTGTAACATTTATAAAAGCGACTGTTCGCACCTCGCAACGATATTAGCGGTAAGGTAAAACTTTTCAGATCAGATCAGCAAAATTGGATGAAACAATAAATTATAAGCCGACAAGATTTTTTTAAAAACAAAGAAAGATAGGCTCAAAAGGTGATTGCTTGAGAATGCTTTTGTTGGTATAAAACTTCAGGGGATTGATAATTCTGGATAGGCTTTTTTGTTTATTGCCACTTTGGTTGTGCTTTCTCTGATAGTTATTGGAGTGAATCTGATTTCCTACCGCCCGTACTGAACTTTTTGTGCCATTTTACGGCTGATCATCCATTTAGCAGGGGAGAGAATATTCTCAGGACTGTTCCCCCATAATGCAGGGCTGTTCACAAGTGAGCATGCGTATTTTTCTACAGACGTGGTCGTACCTGGATTTTACATGATCAGACCTGAGTGAAACATGTTCATGCCTGTCGCAGACATGATAACGACTGACTGAAAACTTGACAAACTCATATTTATTTATACAATACTTCGTATCTTGACTAATTGGTCTTTGTTGTTAAAAATTCACTTTTTCAGATTTTGTTTGAAATGAGCTTATCCAAATTTACCTCCTCGAGTCAAATATCTTCAAATGAAGAAAATTATGTCGCATCTACATCCCAAAAAAGAGGAAGTCAGGTTAGTTTCAGGGGGTCAACGGGAGGGATAGTCGAAAAAACTAAGAATCCCCGGTTTGAACTATAAAGCAATGAATTGAAGCAATTCGTCACAAAATTTTTTGGCCAATAATCTTTCAATTTTCGCGAACCAGTAGCCGCAATAATTGCGAATAAATTAAAAAGATTTGAATGGTTGATACTATTAATCTCATTGAATAAATTAACAACAAATATGCGACTACTTTTTAACGCATGATTTTTGTCTAATTTTATTTGTTAAGCATTTATTTAAAGTGATGAAGTTTTGACTAACAATTAGTTTTATGTTGACAGGAAACAGAGAAAAGTATCCACACGCCCCGCTACCAACGACTCCCTGCTGGCAATTAAAGAAAGATGCATCTAACCACTACAGTATATTTTCAACAAAAAACTTCACCGATGTCAGAAAAAATCTGAAAAAAAAAACTAAAAATTTGAAGTAAAGTGTCACATTTTCAAGCTGAGTTTATGATGTTGTTACAATTTAACCATTTCTTTAATTATCTTGTAATACTGAAGATACCGATTTGAGCATATTCGGTTCAGGCATGGTCATGTATCCTGCAGATGTGAGCATGTTTAGTTCAGGTATGATAAGGTATCCTGCAGGTGTGAGCATGTTTAGTTCAGGTATGATCATGTATCCTGCAGGTGTGAGCATGTTAGTTCAGGTATGATCATGTATCCTGCAGGTGTGAGCATGTTCAGTTCAGGCATGATCGTGTATGCTGCAGGTGTGAGTATATCTTCAGTTAGCACACCTGATGCAGGTCTGATGCAGGTATGTGCATGCCGAATATAGACATGCTGCACATCTGTTACAGACATGAATTTTGCATGATTTTACAATGATCAGATATGATTATGGCCAAAAAGTTCGGTACAGGCGGCTTTCTCTTTTTCGGAGGAGCCGTATAGCTAGTATTGGTGGTGAGCAGTATTGATTTAAGTCAATGCTACTCACAATCAATACCACCAATACTGCTCTTTAAAAACGAGACCACCGTGACTAATTTTTTGACCATCGCGACCGAGATACGGTATGTCCAGAGTTTGTCCGCGGCTTAAAACCCAGACTTAACATTTCCGCGACCGACAAAGTCGAAAATTTAGTCGCAGACCTCGACCCGGGTTGTTGTTGATAGGGCGAGCATATCCGATTCCTCGTACCAGCCTTTGACTGAAATGATGTTTTCTGTCTCCTATTTCCTGCGTTTTTGAGTTGGGTCTAAACTGAAACCAAATTTTGCCCTGCACCCTATGTCCTCAAAAGAGGGTTTCTACCCAAACTTAAGCAAAATAATCCACGATTCCTAGAAAAGTAGACTTGCCGCTCTCATAGCAAAATTCACTGCACAAGTCGGTCATACCAATCCGATCTTCTGGGTAAGTCTCTCTTTAACGCAAGTTCTGGGCTGATCTCTTACAGTAGTGTGAAGGTTCGGATGTTTTGCTTTTCACTTTTTATATGAATAAGGAAGAAAACTATAGGAACTGCTTGCACGTTGAACATTGAATAAGTTGTGGAAATCTGCTTGAAAACCTAGCTTGTTTCAAATGTCCAATCTGCGTTCCATACTATTTCTGTTTCCAAAGTTTACAATTATCATTTTTGCAAATATCAACTTTTGACACAAGTATCTGAAATGATGTTTTCTGCTGTCTCCTATTTCCTGCGTTGTTGAGTTGGTCCCAAACTTTTTTTTTGCAAGTTCCAAAAATTTGTTTACAGTCCTCAATTACATTTTACAGCAAAATTATCAAAGTAATCAACAGTATACAACTACTTCATGTCAATATTTATTTTATACCAAGGAAAATGTGTATCCAGTGCTAGAGTAAAAATATTATAACTATTTATCGACATTTAATAACCCGTACCGAAAATTGTAGCTAAATTCAAATCTGGAAATCGAAAATTCATACAATTTCAGATCTGTATCAGTCCTGTGGCATGTCTCTTTTTCCGCTGTACATGTCTGAATCAGACATGTACAGATATAATAACCATGGAAAGTCAGGTATGATCAGGTCTGGCCCAGGTATGAGCAGGCCTATCCCAGGTATGCTTCAGATCTGATTTTACATGATCATACCTGGATCTGATATGATCATACCTGGACCAGACATGATCATACCTGACTTTACATGATTATACCTGGACCAGACATAATCATACCTGACTTTACATGATCACACCTGGACCAGACATGATCATACCTGACTTTCCATAATCATACCTGGACCAGACATGATCATATCTGACTTCATTCCAGGCCAGATCTCTTCTGTAGATGTACCCAGTACCCGCAACACGCAGCAGAGCTGATCGATATATTTTTCGCCAGGAAACACTGGTGACATTTTCAGCAACTCTCTTTAAACATTTTTAAAACAATAATAATCTTTGTACACACCATTTTCAAAACCGATAAAAAAGATTTCGAAACAGGTGAAAAAGATTTCCTTGCTTACAAAACAAAACAACTGAAAAAGATTGCTTTGCTTACGATATAATTTAGCTCCGTTCAAGGCTGCGAGTTTTACTCAACAGTATGCAGTAATGATATAACTAACCAAAAATGCAGCCCACATCCCATAAGTCCACCTTCGTCATATTTCTTAGCACCGTGCAGGAGTTTAGGACTCCTGTACCATCTGGTAGCCACTTGATGGCTATATTGACTCTCAAGCTGAAGGTGGGCGCCGTTTGGGTCCTCGCCTTTGTTTCTTGAGAAAATTCGCGCCAGACCGAAGTCAGCTATCTTCGGGTGAACCGTTGAGCTGATGAGTAAATTTGCTTGCTGAAAACATATCTCTTGTCCATACATAGTGCTTGTCCATATCTCTCTGAAACAACCATTAAAATCAAAAATCAATTTAATTCCGATTGAAAACAAATTTTTTTAACTAAAGGTACGTAACGTATGCTCGCTCAATCTCTGTAAGTTGGTAAAAAACTATGAAGTCGAATGCTTGAATTATAAAGAGTATTTATCGGCAAAACTCTCAGCAACTCAATAATTCATCATAATTTTGGTCAAGCCCAACATCATATAACTTCAAGACTCCGCTTGTTTCGGTACAAATTGGCACAAACTAACCACAAGAACCGGTCGGTAATGTCCTTGAGACAAATTGCTCTTTTTGGCGGTCAGCCTTAATCAAGGCTGAACCGAATTAGAACCAAAGAACAGTAAAATACGGTCAAATGTGGCTATAGCCCCTCGGTTCTACTTGTTATAAGGTCTGCCTATGGGGGACTGGAACCCGGTTGACCGACGTGAGAGACTTCTCCCTTGGCCGCACGGCCATCTGTCCTTATTTTATATGCATTTATACTCTTGTTTTATATGCATCTATACTGTACATTTGCGTTGCAACATCCTTCCCCCCCCCCCCCCTGAAGAAGGAAGAACCGGAGCGAGCTTAACGGTCGACCGAATGACTTCACGGGTTGCGGTCTTAACAGGGGCGGATCGAGCGCAACCGTCCTGTCCGTAGTTTAGCTCGACGATTCGGGCGAGAGGTTAGTACCCACGCGGACTATCGGGCTCAATCACTCACACGGGATCGCCTGTTTTAAGAATGAAGTCAGAATGAGTGTGCCATTTGACACGCTTATTCAGCGAGGGAACATATTCGCGATACCAACGATACCAAATCGCGTTAGCATATGACTGCGCTCGCACGTACCTTTTCTTGTGGTCGAAGTGCTCCCCAGGTAAAAGCGAAGGAAAGCTTGTGGCATGTTGTCCCGTTAAAACATCATCTGTGATGTCCAGTACCAAGGTTGATAGATTCTCGCAATATTTCGGTACCAGTTTTGAGCTCCACGAGTTAACCTGAAACTCGAGCAGGCTTCCAATTTGTCCTGCATGCTGAGTTGCCCTCAAAATATGCTCCTCGTTGTCCAGAAAATGTTGATTAGGCAGTCTGTTCGCTATGAAAATTTTCCACCCTGAATAAAAAAAGCTGGTTTTGATAAGAAAAGCGCTGGAAATGCTTTGCTGATACATTATATGTGATTAATCTATAAGCGTTCGATTACTCATATTGCGCAAAACCCACAATATGCATTTGACTTTTCCAGTTATAGATGCTCTTAAACTAAATTTGAAAACTAACTATTTTTGCTCATTTTCAATTTTCAAAAGATATTTATAAAAAGCTGATATCAAATCGGAAAAATTAATCTTCCGATGGTCCTTTTAAAAAAATCAAATTATTTTGGGATTGAAAAAAAAACTTGATTTATAGTGAAGTTTATCAATAACCTGAAATTTCGATTAATTTTGAAATTTTTTAAAAAAATAGGTTGAAAGGTTTTTCTATTAAGTGAAGTTGCCTTTTTTTTCTTAACTAATAAGTTAAAATTTGCGGGTAAATTGCTGGCGAAACATGGCGAGGAATATTTTTTTTCCACGCGATTTCAGGTACCTCAATGAAAATGTGAAGAAGGAAAATTGGTATAATGTCAAAATAAAAAAGCTGATTTTTGTAATCTTCTGTAGATTTTTGGATTTAGGATTTTCTCCAGAAGGGGCGGATTTTTAAAAAAAATTTGTCGACTTTTTTTTAGGACGACCGAATTGATTTTCCGAGCTCTCCCAAATCACTGAAAAACACTGTTTTGGCCAGTTTTTGAAAAACAGCGAGAAAAAGTCATTTTAGGCACTTTTTGGGAAATATTGTCCAAAAAATCGCGTTTTTTCGGCGCGTGCTCCACTAGTCGATCAAAGGAGGTTATCCCCTAGTCAATCAAGGGAGGTTAAGGTATAAGTAGTCGATCAAAACTTGAAGACAGCCGCCTATCACAAAAAAAGTTTTAAAAAAAGCTTTCTGGGGGCAACCGCCTAGCGGGCTGTGTGTATGTATGCGTAGCTAAGATTGCTTCCTTCTTCCACGAACGCTACTTGGTTGTCTTCGCGTGTAAAGCTGTTTTTGCCCAAAAAAATTGTATCTTAAAGATCTTGCAAAAAAAGTTATCTTTAAAGGAGGTTATCTTGCAAGATCTTGCAAGATAACCTACCTTGATCGACTAGGGTCCCCCTTCAAAGTTAGTTATATTGGCTCCCAAGGCGCCTTTAGAAAAACTTTGGGTTCCGTCATCAAAATGGATATCTCAAAATAGAACAAAAGGAGGACCCTTTGAGTCGGAAGGGGGTCGAATTCCTGAGGGAAGTAACTTCCGAAAGTATATCCAGAAAATTTGGTGTGGGACTTTTCCACCATTGAGACCAATTAGACAAATTTGAAATACCAATTAGACTTCTGATCTTCCGGCTGCTATGGTTATCTCGGGGCAGATTTAAGCATCAATTGCCCTAAGAAGTCATTCTACTCGCAGCAATGGCAATTTCTTTCGGTGGTTTGTAACAATAAAACGCTGGTAAGTTGCGAAAAACTACTGACCTTTTTCTGATTTTTTCAGATTAAGTATAAAGTTGGCACTTGAATCCCTGCCTGCTGTAGTTGCTCCGGAACTTGCAAGCTCATA